CTCCTCTGGCTGACTCAGTGCTCGCCTCAGGTGATCAATCAGAGGTTCAGGCCGTGGCTCAGCAGTTCCCATTCAGTACCACATTGGTTTTTTGTCTGTTTTTTTTTTTTTTTTTTTTTCTTCAAGAGACTGGGAGGAAATTAACTTCTGCTTGTCTCAGTTGTATGTTAGAGCTTGGCATTCTTGGCATTCCTGCCAAGAATGACCATATATTGTATGATGGGCTCCATCCTACCACCATGGGAGCAGACGCGTGGCTGCACCTCTTCAAAGACTTGCTACATCGAGTGAATGTGCCCAACCAAGTATGGACTAACCAACATATTTGAAGCTTCTCCTTCCCTGCTGTAAAACCCTATCTCCAGGGTTATGCAGGGAACTCGTAAGGTGGGATTAAAGCATCATATCCAAATTCCGCTGACCCTTGCTGGGCAGTGAAGCTAGAATGACTGTGCCAAATACTGACCCCCTATGACAAGGGAAGCGGAGTGAACCAGTGTCAGACAGAAATCCTGAGGGATAAGACAGAATATTCAAAAATACAGCCCAGCAATAATAATTAAAGAAAAAAATGCAAATGGGATGAAACCAGACAATTCACAGAATTAAGGACTATCCCAGAATGATGTAAAAGCCTTATCCTGCAGACCTCAGGTACAGAAGACAAGTTTGACCAATTCTAACACTGCAGAATCATCAATGAGAGCAAGAAGCAGCAATTGGGTCATTGTGTCTCAGACACTTGCATAATGCAGAGCTACGTGGCTGTTTTTGCTGCTCTTTTGTCCCTGCTGATGCCTTATTTAACCTGCTTTGGATAGTTGTCGTTTTGAAAATGTGCAAAATAGATTAAATTTTAACTGCATCATTTAAAAATACATGTGCAGATTTCTGAAGTGACTGGGATCTGAATGTATAGGGCAACAGAACATGACTCAAAGCCCAATTTAAAGACAGAAGTATGTTTTGAGCAAGCATGAACAGTTAGACTGAACAGCAAGGCAAAAGCATGGGGTTTTTTTTAGATGTTGAGTGGACTAAATGCAATGTGAATTTATCTGCAAACCATCTGTGATTTCTGGTATTTTTCGATGCCTTCACAGCTCTAATTTTAAGCAGTTACGTAGCCTTTAAATAATGATAGGTTCTTCCCATTTGGTTTTACATCAGACTCCACACTTGATCACTGAACGCTTGAAGAAGAGGCTGAGTATATTCCTTGCAGAATAAAACAGCAGCTTTTTATTTTTGCAAGTAAAATGTGACATATTTTGGGACGGATTTTCTACATGCACAAAATACATCATGAGTTCTGCTGGATACGGTTTACTTTTTGTGTTTAGCTTTACGCTCCTCATGCAAATTCAGTGCTGGGATAAGGTGCTGGGTTGACTTCCCTGGAGGCTGAAACTCCAGACACAGCACAGAAGAGCAGCAGATCTCTCTGAATCACCTTAAAACTGATATCAAGGGTGCTGGTTTCATCAGACAAAAGGGAAATTGAGAGTCATCATCCATCCAGTCCTCAGCAGCTCTGCTGACAAATCCGCTGTGTGCTGGTGTGTGTGATGTGGGCACTCTCTAAACACAAATGGAGAGAAGGTACTGGTTGAGGAGCTGATCAGCAACCCCAAAAGTGTGATTCCCATTCTTGCAGTGACCCCTGAGGAGACTGGAAGTCTCCAGGTGTGCTCTCCATACACTGTGTTGGGAGGGAAGATCATTTCTAATAAGAGCTACATCTCCTGAGAGCCTGAAACAGTTCTGAGTTACTCCAATCACCCCACAGGAAAAGTGATGATAACCACGTTATTGTCAGCTCTGCTTGCTGTTTCACTCTTTGTTCTGGCAGAAGGTTTTCACTCGCTGCTCTTGGCTATAGTGGAAGATTCTGATTCAGGGATCAATAAGAAATGGCATTGAAGATGAAGGCTTCTCCACATCTGGAAGTATCTTTGCCATTCCCACACAGTCTAGAAACAGGTAGGATGCATTCTTTTCTCCAGGAAGAAGCCTCAGGCATGGGTTCATAAACCCACAGCTTGTCTGCTTCGAGATTGCATTGTGTAGTATGATCTGTGGCAAACAAGACTGAAATCCTGAAAGAAATGGATGGCAAAATTGTGAGAATATTTGGCTAACGGTGTTATTGAACCTGACAATGATTTGAACAAAAAACCCATATCCATTTATTGCATTTATCTGAAAGTCTGTCAAGATTGTAGTGATGAAGCATGAAGAAATGGAGGGGCCCTGCTGGTGGGTATCAGTCCAGACTGCCACGGAATGAAGATCAGCATTTATCTATTTCAGAGGAAGATGAAGATCGTTTCCTACAGTGTGATTTATTACGTACATTGCAATGTTTACTGCAATGTTTGTCTTGTCCAGGCATTAAAGGGAGGCTACCTGCACTTGCTATGAAACTCAGTAGTGATCATTAGTTTTCTCTCCTGGCAACTAAATTATTTCTTTTTAAATGCGAATGGTTTTCTAATTGGGGGCCCTTTCTTCCCTAACAAATTACTTTCAGTGCTTCTGAAAGGATTTAGAAAGCATCCCAATTCTTTGGTGTTGCTGATTAATCACAGCCCACTTAATTCCTAGTAGCTGCCATATGAGTACCATAATGTACTTTGGTGTGAAAGGTTTGTCTTAATTTGTCATGGTCAACTCCGTGACATAATTACATCTTCCCCAGATAAGTTTTTGCTTCTTGAGAGAAGCGTGCTTTACTTGTCAAGCTGCATTCAGTGCTGTTGTGGATTGTTACCTCTTTTCCTCTACCACCTCACACCTCTCCACGTGAGTTCAGAGCTTACAAACGCTACCAGACAGGCAGCACCCAGCATTCAGTTCTGTCTCTAGCCACAAAACACATCCAGAACTGGCAGAACACTGCAGCCCGCTCCATCCCATCTCTTAGTCTGTCCACATGGCACAGAGCAGCAGTGTGTGGAGATAACTGGGCTAGCTGCAGTGTAATCATGTTGGCATAGCAGTCTGCCAAAGCTGATGAGCAGTGCTGAGAGGCAGCGTGCATTAGGCTGGTCAGAATGCTGAAAAAACAGAGCAGGCTGCTCCATGCCTGCAGCTGCTGGTTGCATCTCTACACCCCAGTGTGGATTTAGCCCATGTGTGTTTTGTTTTGTTTTGTTCATTTGAAGGGAGATCACCAGGTCCTGAAGGCTTTGAAGAATGTCAGTTCTGATGCTTTTCAGATGTGGGTATGTGTCCGAGGCCACCCACACCATTTTGCAGGTGCCCACTCAACAGCTGTCAGATAGGAAGGAGCAGTGCACATTTTGAACACCAGTTGGATTTTTGTTTTATGTGTAACTAGTGATATTAAGGCAAAAGGAGATACCCTGGCATTTTGTAATGCCAGCTTTGGATATAGCTGTAGTGAAGATTTAATTACTGTATTGGTAGGGGCAAGATGGCACACAAGGAATATTTTCTGGGGGGAAAAGAAGCAGTGTGCAGTTTAGGCAAGGCATGCCCTAAAAACAAGCACGCCAAACTATGCAGACTTCTGCTTTTATTGGTGGCAAATGAGGAGAAATAAGAGGGTAAGGGAGTTTTGGCTGGAGAACTTGACTCCTTGTTTCTGAAAGGAGACATAGACTCAATTCATTGCTGATTCTCTGCAGTACAGCACTATACATTTCACTGCTTATGTGGGCTGAGCTGTATTGCTTCAGACCATATTGCTTCCAGTCCTGCTTTACCTCTGTGCTGAGATAGGAGAGCATTATTTAGATCAGAGCTGAAGGAGCATACCCATTTCATTTGCCTGATTTTTATGCAAAGTAATAGGGTTTCGCTGGTCAGTAACTTGCATGTAGTCTGGGAACATCTAATTGATCAGATGCGATTTTCAGAATCCATGGGATGATAGACAGGAAAGTGTCACTGAGCAGAGAGCAAAGCCTCGCTTCACTTGGCCACTGACACCTCTGCTGTTCCTTGGCAGCCTCATTTCCATTTTACATATTAAAACAAAAAAAACAAAAAAAACCACAAAACATCTCTGAGTAAAGAACCTGTGCGAATTCTGCTTGCCGAATTTAATTAATACCTGTATGGGAGAGGTTGTTATTTATTCTAGAAACTGCAAAAACACCAATCTCAGCCAAGGGCTGGTGGCTGCATCAGAAGCTGCCATAAAATCAAACCAGCAGTGCTTGTTAGCACAGTGCTCGCACTTCCAAATCCCACAGGCCTTTGCAAACATCAGATAATTAAGGCTAGGTCCTCACCCTGTTGGCTGAAGAGCACCTGTTCATGGGTGTAGGGCAGACAGAGGCAGCCCTGCCAGCCTGCAGCTGCAGGACAGGGCAGTGACAGGACAAGGGGGAATGGTTTTAAACTGAGACAGGAGGTTTAGGTTGGATATCGGGAGGAAGTTTTTCACACAGGGTGGTGAGGCACTGGAACATGTTGCCCAAGGAGGCTGTGGATGCCCCATCCCTGCAGGCATTCAAGGCCAGGCTGGATGTGGCTCTGGGCAGCCTGGGCTGCTGGTTGGCGACCTGCACACAGCAGGGGGTTGGAACTGGATGAGCATTGTGCTCCTTTCCAACCCAGGCCGTTCTGTGATGTTAAATGCTTTTATTTCTATCTCTGTGCCTGCAGAAATCCATTCAGAATGTCGAACGGAGGACAATGACCCCCAGCACCTGAGGTAGCTAGGATGCTGCTAGCAGAGAACTGGGGAAACAGATGGAAAGAGAGCAATCAGGACGGAAAAACGAGCATTTTGAGGAAGAAGACAGGTATTTCAGAGATGCGCACGCCAGCATTCACGTCTTTCGCCCCGGCTACCGCCCAGCACCGAGCAGACGTTTCCTCAGCTGTTTGTTTCGAACGGGCGATACAAAAAGGCTCAGAAAGCGGCCCCGGCCCGGGACAGGGAGCATTTCCCAGCGTGCCCCGCGCCGCCGCTGCGGGACTACATTTCCCAGCGTGCCCCACGCCGCCGCTGGCCGCCGCAGGGAGGGAGCCGGGCGGGCCAAGATGGCGGACGGGGTGCTGAGCCCCGGGGTGAACCTGGAGGCCTTCTCCCAAGCCATCGCCGCCATCCAGGCTCTGCGTTCCAGCGTGACGCGGGTCTTCGACTGCCTGAAGGATGGGATGCGGAACAAAGAGACCTTGGAAGGCCGAGAGAAGGGCTTCGTGGCCGCCTTCCAGGAGAGCCTGCACTCCGTCAGCCGGGACTTGGGGTGAGCGGCGCCCGTGGCAGCGCGGCTAGGCCGGGCGGCTGTGCGGGCGGGGCGAGTTTTTGGCTGTTCATAAGAGCCAGGGGTGCCTCTCCTGGGTGCTTCGCTCCGAAGGGAGGAGTGCTGCTCGTGGTGGTTTGTGTCGTAAGCAAAGAGAGGTGGCTGCGAGGCGCCGTGCCCAGGTGTGCGGGGTGGAGGGCAGGGGGATTTTCTTCTGTTTTCTTGAGGTTTGTGTTAAAACGAGAAGCGGGCATTTCTTTGGCTCTGAGTAATCATTATCACCCAGGTGATGCACAGCTGTACCGAAAGCTGGGAGGTTAACGTGCAGAGCCGTGGCTGTGCTGTGTAGGCTGATACGTTTCAGAAGCATTGGTGGGAACGGCTGGGCTGTGCAGCTCCCAAAGGGCTCAGGGCTGCAGTGTGCCCATCAGTGCTCAGTGAATGTCACCTGTTGCCTACCTGTTCCCTTCAATTAGGAAAGAAGGCCATTAATCTTGTTTATGAATGATGTTGCTCACAACTTAATGGGCTCCTGTCGTATCCCTTTGGTTTTATTGTTTTTTAGTTGAAGAATCACAGAATGGCCAGGGTTGGAAGGGACCTCAAGGATCATGAATCTCCAACCCCTCTGCCACGTGCAGGGCTACCAACCTCCACTTTTAATACTAGACAGGCTGCCCAGAGCCATCCAACCTGGCCTTGAACACCTCCAGGGATGGGGCATCCACAACCTCTGTGGGCAGCTGTACCAGCACTCTCCCTGTAAAGAATTTCCCCCTGACATCCAACCTAAATTCCTCAATTTCAAACCATTCCCCCTTGTCTTGCTAGAAGAGGCCTCATCATTCCCAGCATGGAAGTTGTGCCTTCCCTTTGGTCGTCCTTCTTGTCTTTATCAGTAGCTTTTTGAAGAGCTGACTAGTCTAACCCCAACATCTTGCTTCCAAACATAATGGATAGCAACAGGTTCTGACCTGTATTTTCACATGTGCTCTGTTACACTTGTTTACAGTGCAGTTTCTCATCCGGTGTTTCAATGCTGTGCAGTCGTTCAGCATCTCTTTGCAATTAGTCCTTGTTCTAACACCTGATATGAGAGTAGCTTCATCGTGAAGTTCCTTTTTCACCCCTCTTTTCCACAACATTAATGGATTTATTGATCATTGGATGCCCCAGCCCTGGAGGCATTCAAGGCCAGGCTGGATGTGGCTCTGGGCAGCCTGGTCTGCTGGTTGGCGACCTGCACTGAGCAGAGGATTGAAACTAGATGAGCATTGTGGTCCTTTTCAACCCAGGCCATTCTATGATTATTTTGTTTATTCACATTTATTTTACTGTGTACCTGCATCAAGAAATATTAAGCAAATATATGTGTTCCCGACACAAGTGACTTGGAAAGAATACAGGCCATGGATGCTTCAGGAAACGATGATTAATTAAGAAGACTTTTGTGGTAGGGAAATTTACTTAGTTCCCAATCACTGGTGTTCATTTTTTATTAATTTCATTAAATGCAAACTGAGATATTTGGGACTTTTTTTTTTCACTGAGATTTTCATAAATGACCATTTTGTGAGGAGCTGAGTCCTGCTCTTGATTTAGTGGAAGTTCTAGAGTTCAATCGTAGTAGGATTTAAGTCCACAAGTCAGGGGGAAAGGCATTTGATTAGTTGTGTCTCAGAAAAAACTGCGCTTTATATCTGGGCAAAGCAGCCAGTCTTTCTTCTACAGCTGATTAATGCAAACTTGCAAAGATGCTTAACTCTTGTGATTATTAAACGTAGTGTTTGACAAATGAGGTATGAAGTAATAATAGATCATTTTCGCAGTGAGCTTTTATTTCCCAATGGAAAAATGCTGCTTATACTTAGCTGAGTGTTTTATGTACTTCTCCAGGTGTACTTGTTGCTCATGGGAAACAAAAGATGCTTCCTTGCCCTGAGAGGTTGGAATGCATCTGTTTGATTAGAGCAACCACAAACTTCGCAGGACCATCTCCAGGGTTAGGACCAGTTCTGCATCTTTACATGAGGACAATATTAATTTCTAGTGCTTTATTGAAATAATAGGGCATCTGCTTGCTTGTTAATTCTATGATGACTTACAGTATTGCAGCCGGTGCTTCAGCTTGCAGTTCTCTGGCTTCTAAGGGTGCTTTGCTCAGAAAATGGCTTGGGTGGTGGAAGTGTTTGCAGGCAGGTTGTGCCATGGTTTGGCTCTTTCCAGGCTGCCTTACAGACTCCTGGTTTGTACTTTCTCTGCTGAAGAGCTGTGTGCTTTATGACTAACAGACCGCTCTGAGCTGTTTGGCCGTGATTACGTTTCTTTAATCAAACTGGGCAAGTATTTAAAACACTCGTGGGTATTAAAATAGAGTTTAAACAGGGTTGCTGTCTCTGTAGGAGGACTGCGCAGCTCAGCTGTGTGTATCTCCAAATCTGACTTAAAAAAACCTCCTGTGTGTTTCAGTGAGCTGGAGCGTCTGAGCAATCTGGTTGGTAAACCATCTGAGAACCATCCCTTGCACAACAGCGGGCTGCTGAGCCTGGATCCTGTTCAGGACAAAACGCCTCTTTACAGCCAACTTCTTCAAGCCTACAAATGGTCAAATAAGGTAACGGAATACATCAGTGTAATTTACTTGTATATTCCTCTGGAATGAGTGATCTGTGATGCATTAGACCTCTCAGTATCTAAGAGTGTCAAAACAAGTATGAACTTGGTCAGCACAATGTGTACCCCGATGTACTTTCAAGGGTAAAAATTGTGTTGCAGTTAAGGAGACTTGTCTACAACATCAAGGTTGGGCCCTTGTTTTTCTAAGAGGTGTGTTAATTCCCAAGCTGAGAAATAGTTTCCAAGTTAGCTGTTTAGTGTTGTCTTAATTGATTGTCAGTAAACATTGTAGCAGAGAATGTTGAGTTGATCCCTTACCAAGCTTACCTCAATAAAGGAAACTGAGAGGGAAATTGTCATCATCAGAAGTGATGATGACTTTCTCTACTATTATACTATACTGGTGGCTTTCTATACTATTTGCTGTCGTTAACACTGTGTGCACTTGACTTCATAAGAAATTCTGGATTTGAGTATATTTTTAAGGTAATAACATCCTTTGTGCTTTTAAAAATGAATTGTTGAAAGAAACTTTCTTCTGGTGAGAATAATTGAATAACACTGTTTGCTGAATGTGTCTAGGGACAGAAACTGGATAGATATATTTGTTCTGAACATGTTGTTCCCATGGTTGGTCGAAAATATCCCTTTTCTGACATCTGATTTTATTGGATAAGTAAACATGGCATTATTGTAATAATATTAATCCCTGTCTGAGCATCATTATGCTTCAGGTTGCCTGTTCCCATCCTAATTTTTTTCAATCTGTACATTACTTTTTATAGAAGGGATGAAACTAAATAGTACTTAAGATTCTCCTTAAAAATCTTTTTGAAGTATTATTGATCTGCTACAAAATGTAAGAGATGGATTCATTCCTGTCAGTTGTTACTTGTGAGAGATTCCAGAGCTGTAGCTCTTAACTGCGTACCAGACAGCAGAAGGAAGCAAGAATAATAAATCTGAAAATAGCAGGGGCATTAAAAGAAACAACTCTAAATTATTTATTGCAGTACATGAGCAAGGAAGGCTTTCTGACTGCACGAGAGCTTGGTAGACAAATCCTTGCTATCAGCTGAGCCAGCTGATTAATGTTAGTCAGGTTTAAGACAGTTCTGTAGAAGTGTTTGTTTGAATACCACAATATATCTGTATGGTTGCTCTTCAGGATGCAAATGTGTGCTAATGTCTGCTACAATCAGTAGAATTCAACATCTGAAGAAATTTGGCTTGGTTGGCAAATAGGGGGCAGGGAAATGCAGTTTTAATGGTTGAGAAAAGTATCTTGTTTGCTTGGTTTTCTTGCTGTTACTCAAACCAATTGTTGGCTCTGAAGAAGAAAGAATTATTTTGCTACTTTCAGGCAAAACCACTTCACATTTATGCTTGAAAACTTATAATGCAGTGAAGTTACTTCTTCAGGGTATCATTAAAATTTTGGTAGAGTCATTCTAACGGAGTTTTTTATTAAGAGTGTTACAGAGATTTGGAAAGTTTTGTTTTGTTTTGTTTTTAATAATACTGGCTTCTGATGTTAGAGAGCAAAAGGTGTTTGCATCCTGTGCACTCACATGTGCCTTTAAATGTTCCAGGAGAAAACCAGTATCTTTTAGAGTCATAGAATGGCCTGGGTTGAAAAGGACCTTGAAGATCATGTAGTTTCAACCCCCTGCTGTGTGCAGAGCCGCCAACCAGCAGCCCAGGCTGCCCAGAGCCACATCCAGCCTGGCTTTGAATGCCTCCAGGGATGGGGCATCCACAGCCTCCTTGGGAGGCTGATTCTACCTTTTCATTTATCTTTTGTTTTAGTTCTATAACAGAACTAAACCAGACTGCTGAAGTTGTATTTCAGTGCTTTTGTCCTAATAGTTTTTCTGAATTTTACTAGCTGCTTTTCTAAGGTGTGTAGTAACCAGCAGACAGGAGGAGGTTGCCTTTGTTCCTGACAGCAGATGTGTTACCTGTGTTGGAGGTATTAACAGCAGGATACTGCCGTTAGCATTGGGGGCTGTCGTGGTGCTTGTATAGGTTGCTGCTTAGTTTTTAATTGTTAAAAACACTTCTTGAATAAGTGATATTGCATTGCCTCTTCTGACCACCTTTTGTTGTTATTACTTGAGCCTGATGTTTTCCGTTGCTTGGCAGGGAGAATTTAGGTGCGGTGTTGTGTCAATACGCATTTAATTTTTAATTTGTGACCCTCTGTGGCTTGCTTGCTTGTATTTTTGATGAGCTGAGATAAGGACATTTTCCTCTCTCTGATTGTTCACGCATTGCTTGTGACATGAGTAGCTGTACAGCTGCCAGGGAAGGATAGATGGAGTAGAGTTTCGGGGCTATGGTGCAATTCCTAAAAGACATCCATGAAACAAAGGGGAAATGAGCACATGCACACTTCCTGCTGTGTGTTTCAGTGCATCTTGTTTATTCTTAAAGCGTGGGAGTGTGGTAGCAAAGCAGCTTGTAATAAGGAAGGTCAGTAAAAATAGCTGAGCGGTGAATGATTTTTGGTGTATCAAAGTACTGTGTGCTTTTTGGGGGAAAAAAAAAAGACTTTGCTGCATTCTTTTTTAATTATTTATTTTACTGAAAGCTGAAAGAACACTTAGAGACCTGAAACAGTGAGCATCTCAAAAAAAAATAAGTTAAATCAGCGTTTGCAAAGTTATCCTCAGTCATAGGATAGTCAACATCCTCATCCAAGTCTGCTTGGATAAAAGCTGAGGTATTTTTTTGGTATCTGTATCAGTATGTCTGCTTTGGAAGGAACAGCCTTGGCCAGTTCTAACAGTAGCCTTCCACATACCCTGGTCCACGCAAAGCCCTTTAGATAACAGCGCTGCCAAACTGTTGCAGTAGTTATTTCTTGAGATGAAAAGCTTTGTTTTGATGTGGGGTCAAGTGAATACCTGTTGTTGGCTGGGTGTGGGATGCATGGCCAAGCTTTTGGAATTAAGTAGCCGTGTTGGGAGCTGTGGTGAAAATGATGTTCACAGACCTTTTCCTTACAGAACTGTGTTGTCCTGGCAGCTCTCATTATTTATTAGCACCTGCTATCCTGATATTTACTTACTGTAGTTTATCCAATAGTTTTGCAGATGGTGAAGTCATTCGTGTAATAGAAGCAGCTGTTGGGGAACTCAACAGCTTGTGAAGTGCTTTAAGTACACATACAAACAGATGTACAACTTTCCTTTTCCAGGTGTTTAACAGAGCTTAAAAACCAGTGCTGACATAAACATGGAAAGTTTAAAGTGATCTTAGTGCAAGAGCTAAGTGGTTTTGTCTTTGCTTTTGTAGAAGTCATGCAGGTAAGTTACTGCTGCTGTAGGGTGTGCAGAAGCACATAGTAGGTTTGGAACAGGTCTTCATAGATTTATTTGTTTTTCTCCTCTACAGTTTTATTTAAGAAATGACATTTTCTTCATCGTGGTTGAGGTACTGTTGCTCAGAAGGATCTTTATGTGCCCTCTGATGCTGAAGATACAGTGTGAGATGAGACAGAATGGAGCTGTTGTTCTGTATGGTATCGTGACGAAGGAGTTCTGTGCTATGAGTTATGCCTGAGGTGGCAGTGGGAAGGGATCCTGGCTGGTGTGAGCCCTGGTCCTGCTTACTCTACTGCATGCTGATGCTGACTTTTGTTGCCAGCTGCCTCCTTCTGCCATTCTGATAGAAGTCAAGGGAAATTATAAGGGAAATGAAGGGTTTTCTGGGCAGAAGCGTAATTATTGATGATGGGATTAAAGCAATATAATGTACGTAGCCCAAATATAAAACACTTAATGAGCTCGTGCTGCTGTGGCTGTCTGATCCAGCTGCAGTAATGCTAGCAGTTAGGGTAGGTGCAGAGTTTTGGAATCCAGGAGTTTGAACTCATGCTTTCAGTATGGGAAGAACTTTGTCTGCTGCTTTGACGAGGTTATTTATTGCCTGTAGTGTATGCTTGTTCACCCTCTTTGCCCTTGGCAGAGCATTTGTATCCCCTCACCCTGTGCATGCCCCAGGCATTGTCTGTTCAGGTGTTCATTCCCTTTGACTGCAGTGGAACAGCAGATGTACAGCATGCTCTGTGCTCACCGAGCTGGGCAGGTGTTCTGTAGGGCAGGTTCCCCCTCTCTTAGGAGGTGCTGCCAAGTAGTTCATGTTCAGCATTTGTATCACTAGTGTAGATTTGTTGCTTTGTGGGGTTTTTTGTAATTATTTGAAGTGAATACTCAAAATGAATCAGCTGCCCAACTCCCCAGAATTGCTCTTTCTACCAGCATTACAAAACTCTGAGCTTGCTGTACAGCAGCAAACCAAGTCTTCTCTGAGCTGCTGAGTAACTGCAGCATTAGCAGTGTCCTGACCCACTGCAGAAGATCTCCTGCATCTTGTCTTTATTTTCTCTTGGTGGGATGTGGTTTCAGACTCCCAAAGCATATTATTAACAGTAGCACAACTAAGGGAAATGATAGAGCTGTGGTCATGTGCACAGTTCACGTTGTGTTAAGATTTGTCCTTGACTTTAACTTCATTGAAGTCCGTTGTTGGCAGCACCACTGATGGTGCTTCTTTCTATTTGCTCTTTTACATTCCAGCACTTCAGGAATTTGCACCAATGTCCATAGATGTATTTGAATGGAAGGTTTGCTATTGGATGTTATCATTGTGACATGGTATGGAAACTTCCACAGACTTACCAGAGATGCTGTAAAAGCTGCAAGAGTGCAGAAGTGAGCAGTTGTCATCAGTTTATTTGAATGTTGTGCACGGGTAAAGACAAACCTGAAGAAAGATATTGCTGTTTCTGTGCATCTTAAAATACATTTTGAAGATATTTGGATTTCAGTTTGTTATTTAGTAGCTTCCTGGTGAATTTAAAATTGAACTGTTGAGATAATTAGCGTTAATGAGTTAAAATGATTTTCAGTCACATGACAAAAGAAAAAAGGAACATACAGTTTTTGTTCATGAAATTATCTTGATATGTTCTCTGATAGATTATTGGTATAA